GGATCTGGCAGGGGGGCCAGGGGGCCGGTGCCCCTGCTCCGGTCGTGCGAGCTAGGGTATAGGTATGGTTTGGAGTCCGCCGGACTGCACCGTTTCATTATTTTCGGCGAAGCTTGGGACCTCTATTTTTTCTTCTGACTTCCGCTGGACAGGACGATTGATGGAGGTGATTTTGTTTAAATGGCACGACGCCGTTTTGTATTCTGTGGGACAAAAAAAGGATTGGGCCAAGGCAGGTCCAACACGCAACAGCCCCAAACGAAGCAAAGAGAACCCAAATCTGGGCATCCTGCCATACCTTTACGCAAATCCGCCCCTGGCCGCACAAGAAGGCAAGAAGGCTTGTTTTCCCATTTTTTCCCTGTGCGGCTGTGCTACTGTTTGATGTTATAGGTGATGATCGGTAATGGTACTACTATCCGGCATTCCCAAATTCCCAAACGCCCGCAGACCGCAACGGTATGTTCCGAGTTCCGATTTCCTATTTCTTCTATTTGAAATTAAATAAAATTTTGTATTTGTTTTAAAATTCATAGTTATGATTTGAAAAAGATGTTATATGTAGTCACAATGTAGTATAATTGTGTAAAATATATTGAATTAAATATAACGATTATGTGTTACTGTAATTTTTTGTGTTAATGTATTGTTTCATTTGTTTGTATTAATGAAGTATTTATAATAGATTAATAGTTCGACTTGAAATCTTGAATTAATTATTTGTTGTTTCAATATTTGTCATTAGGGGATGTCAATTGAGAAGTATTTTCCCCGGAAAAAAACACCAATAACTTTCGATTGTGTAGTCGGCTTTACGTAATAAAATGGGAGATGATTATCTTACTGATTGTGTAGTCTGCTACGTAGAAAGAGATGTGTTTAGACGCATCGATAATGAGGTTATTATCCAACATTTTCAGAACATGAAGACCTGTAGGTTGGATTTAGCACCATTACGTTAACCCTTTTGATTAAATTTGGTATGTTTTGTTAGTGTAATTTGTTAAGACAATTTTATTATTAATGTCATGATTTACGTAAAGTGATTGTGCCCCTGCTTAATTTTTTCTCTAGTTCCGCCACTGCACGTGGAGTTCTAATCTCTAGTAATTCTGCATTAGAGAAAGTAAACGTATGGATATACTCAAAAATAAATTACTCATAGAAAATTATATTTTGTTGATGGGAAACTTTAAATTACATAACACACAGAATATTACTAAAAATACCTTTAGAAATACACCATAGCTAAAGTTCGGAACATCATGATTAATTGATCATGTTAGGTACTTATGACTTGTTAGGTTTCATAATTCAAGTTGAAACAGATATTGTAGCAGAGGATAATGCATAAAGTTTAAAGTATACGTATATCAGAGCCAAAGTTTTAAAAATTGGGCTTCGGAGAATATAATTTTAATAGAAATAAATTTCAGATCCTACGAGTTTTATGTCAATTCCACTTTTGATCCTATGAATTTTATGTCAATTTCACATTTAGTTCACATCTTTCACTTTATCCAATTTTGACACATGAATATTGTGTTTTCGCTCATATATGATTCTTCAGACAATGTTTCTGATAGTTAAAATCGTCGAAGAAGGACCACAATTGATCAAAAAAACATTAGATAAGCACTGAAACTGGATAAAGTGAAAGACGTGATCTAAATGTGGAATTGACATAAAACTCGTAGAAGTGAAATTAATTTTTTAATATAGTAGATTGGACTTCAGAGAAGGTTGGGGTAAGCATCTGTTAAAAGTGGAAAGAATAAATTGAAATAATTTCTTTATTTTTCCTTGTCTTCCTTGTCTGTTCGACTCGGCCAGCATATATACAAAGCATTGTGCGTTACAAACTTTCCATGCAGGAGAAAAGGAAAGAAAATAAGCTATACACTACGTACTTTCCATGCAAGGAAAAGGAAAGAAAATATAACTAAAAATCTTTCCTAAACTAAAGCAATGACTACGTACGTGTAATAATATGCTACAATGCAAAAATATGTACATGAAAAATATGTGGCGTAACACCCCCCTCAAGATGGAGCATGGGGGTCGCAAATGCCCATCTTGCCGAGCAAATAAGAAAATTGTTGAGCTCCAATGGCTTTGGTAAGTAGGTCCGCAGGCTGTTCAGTAGTAGATGTGTAGTTCGGAGTGATAGTCCCAGCCTGTATATGATCACGAATAAAATGACAATCGAGCTCTATATGTTTGGTACGTCCATGATAGACCGGATTGGAGGCGATGTGCAATGCCGCTTGGTTGTCACAGTAGAGGCGAGCCGGACCAGAATTAGGGACACCCAATGATCGAAGCAAAGAACGTAGCCAAATGAGTTCAGATGTTAAAGAGGCCATAGACCGGTATTCGGCTTCTGCAGAGGACCGAGAAACAGTGGTCTGCTTTTTGGTCTTCCATGATACCGGGGATGAACCCAAGGATACGAAATAATCGGTGACGGATCGACGAGTTATTGGACAGCTCGCCCAATCGGCGTCACAAAAACCGTTGAGGGAGAGTGATGAATCAGATCGAAGCAAAATACCCTGGCCAGGCCGTCCTTTTAGATATTTAAGTACCCGGAGCGCGGCCTCCCAATGGGCCTGTCTCGGACTTTGCATGAACTGTGAGAGTATGTGAACAGAATAGCAAATGTCCGGCCTGGTTAGTGTCAGATAAATGAGTTTTCCCACCAACCGCCTATACAGTTCTGGATCAGGAAAATGGGAGCTAGAATCCGACTGCAAGTGATGATTTTGTACCATAGGAAACGCTACCGGTTTGCATCCCAACATCCCAGTCTCCGTCAATATATCTAGCACATATTTTCGTTGACAAAGAAAAATGCCGGTGGGGTTCCGCGCAATTTCGATGCCTAGAAAATATTTCATGACACCCAAATCCTTGATAGGAAAAGTGGCTTCCAAATAGACTTTAAATTGTTCGATCAGGGTATGATCATTGCCCGTAATTAACATGTCGTCAACATAAATAAGCACACAAATAATTTTCCGTCCCTGACGCATGGTAAATAGGGAATAGTCCGCATGTGACTGCGTAAACCCATAATTCTTTAATGATGTAGTAGGTTTAGAGAACCAGCACCGTGGGGCCTGGCGCAGTCCATAAAGAGAGCGTAGTAATCGGCACACCTTGCCAGGTGAAGACGCAGAGTATCCCTGGGGTAGTTGCATATAAACCTCCTCGTGAAGGTCCCCATGAAGAAAGGCGTTATCTACATCCATTTGGTGTATCTCCCAATGGCAAGATGCTGCAACTGCCAAAATGGTACGTACTGTCACCATTTTAGCAACCGGAGAAAAAGTTTCATCGTAATCAATGCCCTGTACCTGTCTATTTCCACAGACAACAAGACGGGCCTTAAAACGATCCACGGATCCATCGCTTTTATATTTGATTTTATACACCCATTTGCAGAAAATGGCTTTCTTCCCCGGCGGCAAGTCCTGTATCTTCCACGTGCCAACGCGCTCCAGCGCCTGGATTTCACGGCCCATGGCTTCCCGCCATTGCGGATCACATACGGCTTCGGAAAAACTGGTTGGTTTCTTCGTCATGGAAATAGCTGCAAGAAAAGCCCGGTGCGAAACCGAAAAATGATCATATTTTATATAATGAGATAGTGAATAAGGAGTACCTGATTCGGCCGTAGGAACGGGTTTAACGACGGGGTGAGAGTTTATTTTAACCGTGTGTAATTGGACGTCATAATCTTTGTGCCACAACGGAACTCTACGGGCACGCTCACTTCTTCGGCTGTGATTTGGAGTATGCACGTGGGCCTCACCGCCCACTTCCTGCCCTTGCATTCCTTCCTGCGGCGTAGTGGTGGGCATCAACTCGGTGGGCCTGGCTTCAGTTTGATCCGTGTTCCCATGTCCACACGTGGCTGAGGAATCACACGTGCCACCTTCTCCAACGGCTACATCCTCAGCCACGTCATCTTCAGGATTGTGACCGTCCCATGCATGCATGCGTGATTTCCTCGCTTCGTCTTCCCCCCCAGGCGTCGGTTTTGCAATTGCAAAAGGGAATTCCGTCTCAATAAATCGTACATCACGAGAAACAAGATGTCTTTTAGTCTGCAGATCATACACCTTCCAGCCCTTTTGGGAATAGGCATATCCCAAAAACACACATTTCAATCCCCGTGCCGCAAATTTGTCACCCCCGGTATTCGAAACGCGCGCGTAGCATAGACATCCAAAGACCCGGAGTTGACTATACATAGGCAATTTATTATATAGTAACTCGTAGGGGCTTTTATTGTCTAGCACTGATGTGGGTAACCGGTTGATTAAATAACCCGCTGTCAAAACACACTCCCCCCAAAAATCAATAGGCAAATTAGCATGAAATCGTAATGTCCTCGCCATCTCAAGAATATGCCTATGCTTTCGTTCTACTCTTCCGTTCTGTTGAGGGGTGTATACACATGATGTCTGAAAAATTATTCCATTTTCCACAAAATATTCTTGCAAGCTCATAAATTCCTTGCCATTGTCACTCCGTACTATTTTCAGATTTTTGTTAAATTGTCTATTAACCATGACAAGAAATTGTTTGAGAATATTCTTCACCTCACCTTTGTCTTTCATTAAATGCACCCACACAGCTCTAGTAAAATCATCTACCACAGTTAAGAAATAGCGTGCACCACAGGTAGATAAAACACGATACGGTCCCCAAATATCACAGTGAATTAACTCAAAGGATTCAATGGCTCTAGCACTGCTAGTAATAAAACTGTCTCGTGTTTGTTTGCCTCGCATGCAGGCATCACACGTCTTATTGTCAACAAAATCCAACAATGATTTATTCAACCAATCAAAAGAACGTAAAATTTTTATTGACGGATGTCCCAACCTTGAGTGCCACAAAGTTCCTGAGTCCATGCTACCCACTGCGTTCGCCTGCACTTGGTTCAGACCCCCGAAATAATAAACTCCACCTCGCCGTTCACCCACTCCAATCGGCGTCCTCGTAAGTAGGTCCTGTATTACACATAAATCATTAGTAAAAAATACATCACATTTTCGATTATCAATTAATTTCCCCAAAGAAATTAAATTGCATTTTAATCCTGGAACAAGCAAAACGTTGGTCAGTTTCAAGCTTCCACAGATTTGCACTTGTCCCACGTGTGTTGCCTTGGTGATTTCACCGTTCGGCATCATCACTTCTACCGGCGGAATTCTCACCATCTCCGTCATTGGGCTGCTGTTTCCGGTCATGTGATACGAGGCTCCGGAATCAAGGAGCCATCGGTCAAGAGATTGCATACCTGAGAGTTTTTCTTCCGACGATGTGGCCTTACAATTTTCCATCAACTTGAGGAACGTTTGCCATTGTTCATCGGTAAACCCCGGTCTGTGTAGCGTGATGTCCTTCGTTCCTTGTCCCACTTGATCCTCCGGATGGTGTTCCCCCACATGCATGACCTGTACCACACTTCTTCCTGCATTTCGCCCGGAACCTCCTCGCCCGGACCCTCCTCGGTTCTGTCCAGTCCGCCCCTTGCCACCGCGTCCAGGATTGTCGTGCCACCAGTCCGGATACACACCTGTACGACGGAAACAATTTTCAAACTCATGGCCTGGCTTGTGGCAGAATGTGCACTTGGCTCGATCGTCCTTCGCAGCAGGTGGTCCGGCACGTGCAGCGAAAGCCACAGCTTCGGGTTTGTCTTCTCGGCCGCGCGTCATGTTTCGATGTCTTTCTTCTTGCGTCACCAAGTGATAAACTTTCGTTAAAGTGGGCAGTTCATCCGCGCTCAAAATATTAGAACGCAAATTCCCGTATGTCTCATGGTCGAGACCCATCAAGAAGTCATTAATTTTTTCGGATTCCACATACTTAAGAAACGATTTCTTGAGATCACACGTACATCCGTTGCATTTACAGTGAGGGAAATTGCGCACTCCATCATATTCCTCCCAAAGAGATTTAAGTTGGCCGAAATAGGCAGTAACGGGTTGTCCATGTTGTTTGCAATTTCGCAGAAGTTCCTTCAATTCATATTTTCTCATTGCATCTCCTACGGAAAATCGTGCCTCCAAGTCCGTCCAAAGTTCATGCACGCTTTCCATGTAGGCCAAGTTGGTCCTCAACGCCGGATCCACAGAAGTCATAATCCATCCTACCGTCATGGAGTTGACGGTTAGCCAATCTTCAAGATCCCTCGGTGCATTTAGAGGTCGTTCAATCGTACCATCAAGAAAACCCATCTTCCGTTTGGCACGGAACGCATTCTTCATTGTCGTCGCCCATTCCCGGTAGTTGTTCTCCCCTCTAAGAACAACCGCACATATCACCATCCCGGGGTGATCCGAACTTGAGAGAAAATAGGAGGACGAAGGGTCGTTGATTTTCCTTCGTTCAACATGTTCACGATGACCGTCTCCACCGTTGTGATTGGTTTCTCCGGCCATTGAGTCGTCGTCGTCGTCGTGCGAGAGTGTTCGGTAGGTCCCGAATCACCGCTCTGATACCATGTTAAAAGTGGAAAGAATAAATTGAAATAATTTCTTTATTTTTCCTTGTCTTCCTTGTCTGCTCGACTCGGCCAGCATATATACAAAGCATTGTGCGTTACAAACTTTCCATGCAGGAGAAAAGGAAAGAAAATAAGCTATACACTACGTACTTTCCATGCAAGGAAAAGGAAAGAAAATATAACTAAAAATCTTTCCTAAACTAAAGCAATGACTACGTACGTGTAATAATATGTTACAATGCAAAAATATGTACATGCAAAAATATGTGGCGTAACAGCATCATATTTAAATCCAATTTGATGGTAAATAATCTTTAAGTGTTGCAAAGCATATAAACATAATTACAATAGATTAAAATATATGGGAAAAACTATTAAATATATCTTCTTACTATATACAAAAGAGTTAATTATGCATATAGGACTAAAAGTCGGTCCGTTTGCACAAATAGGACCAAAAAATAAACTATGTTTCATAGGACTAATTATGTGTGTCTTGGAAAAATATACTCTTGTAGCTATTGAAATGTTTTAATACATTATAAAATAATTAAAAAATCGTAAAAAAACTAAAAAATTAATAAAAATATTTAAATAATAACAATTCAAAAAAAATTAAAAAATATAAAAAAACGCAAAAAAAAAAAATCGCCGCCGCCTTTGCCACCCTAGCACCACCACCTCCGGTCACCGGGGGGGAAATGCCACATGCATTAGGAATTTCATATTTGTGGCAGATTCAATGAAAATTATGGCATTCTCAAAGAATAATATGCCATTTTTTGGCATTTTCATAAAAAATGACATTTTTTACACCGGTCGGATGTGGTAGTGCGGGGAGGGAGTACAAGTGGTGGGAAAGGCATCCATATTTTTTTATGGGTTTTTACTATTTTTTACTCCCTCCTTCCCATTGGACTTCCGCCAACTTTCTCTTTAGTTGTCCCAAAAAACTTTGTCATTTTCCTATTAAAACAATTAATTTGTGATTCTACACATTTCTCTCTCCTCTGCACAAATCTCAACCACACGGTTTTTACTTTTCTTATTTCTCACCTACTTTGCACTTGGTAAAGTCCACCGGGACGGAAGTAGTATTAATTTTCAAAAATAATAATTTTTTAGTTTATAAATATTTTATTAATTTTATGAATATTTTTCTACGATTTTTATTATTTTTTACGAAATTATTATGAATTAAAACATTTAATTATGACATTTGACTACCTTTTACTCATATTTAAAGGAGGGTTAAGAATGGAATGAAAAAATAGGTATGTTTCCAATAGGAGTAATATGATCCTTTTGGAATAAAAACATAAGATGTTCTATTTTTAATTTTTGTCATAGTTTTACTTCTATTTGGGGTAATTTCTGTATACAAAAGAGTTATTAACCCCTTCTACTCTAAAAAACACCCCTTCAAATCCCTGAAGTTGTAAAAAGCAAAAATACCCAATTGTGTCATTTATGATATTTTTACTTGGAATGTTTTCAGACCCATACCATATCAGATTAGAACAGATCAAACCAAATCAAACTTGGACGGTTACAAAACAAACCAATCCTTAGAGCATCTTTAGTGGGAGAATGAATTGTTTAAAAATGCATTGCCACATCAGTTAAATAAATTTTAGAGCATCTTTAATGAACATGTGGATTGTACCCTTTTAAAAATGGACATGTCACTTGTATAAAAAGCCCATGGAGCTGATGTGGACTTGTAAACTCTTAAACTAATTTTTACGTTCCACTGGTACAATAGACTTGAAGAATTCGTTTCCTATACACGGACTACTTCATATAACTAAAAAATTGTCGCACGTATTCTTCTTCTACCTTTCTCCAGGAAGGCATAATCTAACTAGTATTCCTATCTCTAACTAGTTTGTTTTTCACAGTAGCTTAATATTCCTAGCGACATATTTTTCACTTTTCTAATTGTATTTAAAACATTAAATTGAAGCCAGCGCAGATTGTTATGCATACAAAGCGAGTAACTTTGTCACTTTCCGGTGAGGGTTGCTTGATATTTGTAATACAGCACACGAGTACAGGTAATCTACTAGTGTTAATTCATCCATTTTCGATATATCTCAACTCCCAAATAACGTGTTTTTGTACATTTTCAGTATATCACTATCATGGCGTGATGAGTGGTAGCATATTTGGGTACATTATCAATGAGACAAGGGTCGGATGATTACATTAAATTGGGAGCTATGGAATAAAGAGTATACAATAATGCAATTGTGATTCAAAAGTACATAAAATATGAAAAATCAGTGTTAATTTAGTACAAACTCGTATTACCACGTTTAAAACGCTGATTTGGCAATAATTAGCGTTTGTGCAGTAAATTAACGATGGAGTCCAACCCTTAGCCGCCGCCCACTGTGATTACTGCCGCTCCCTCTGGATAACTGGCTCCGCCCAGGTTTTCTTCTCCACCGGCGTCTCCCCTAGTCGCCCACTTCAGCGCAGCTCCAACAGCTGAGCGCATCGTCAATTTCCGGACCTGCAAATCCGTCGCCATCGTTTCACGGATCAAGGTCGCTCCTCCACCTTGGCGGAAGCCGTGGATGAAGGTTGTTCCTTGTTCATCGGTTGACAACTTCAGGACAACAACGCGTCAACACAGTCCTCTCTCGCACTACTTTTGGTATGTCCGTGTATTCCAGGTGGGAGTCCCTAACGGCTACCGGCGGTGAAATCCCTCACCACCACCAGCTCCAGCCAAACCTCCAATAAAGACGAAGTTCGAGGCCACAACGCCACAAGGCGCACCAATAGCAGAGATTTGGAGGTCCTCCCACGACCTAGTCCAAGGTGCCCCTTCCATTTATCTTCACCGACTTTGGATACGGGCACCATTGGTTGTTTTTCTCCCCCACCCCAGCGGCCCAGCCCTTGAAATGGAATCTCAGTGATGATAGAGGGCAATTTTGACTTCTACCAAGCAAAGAGATGGTTTAGGTCAAACTTTGTGGGTCAGCAGGCCATATTCAATCCAATACCAGTTTTCAACAAAAATAGCCTATTTCATTAGCCAAAGTGTTTTAAACATGCTAATACAATTTCGTACTAAAATAACACCTATTTTTCAATTTTATGTATGTTGATGTTAATTCGCCGCAGCCCGGAAGTTCAACACCTCTTCCGGGAGAGTTTCATGGTTATGGGGTGATAATAAAATATAAACAATGATTTTTACGTGGAAACCCGGAAAGTGAGAAAACCACGGGACTGTTTAGGCTAATGTCCAAGCCCGCTCCTTTTATTAATACTCTCCTCCCCATTTCATAATACAATATTGAAGCTCCATTAACGGAGTATAAAGCTAGCTAGGGAAAGGGGGGAAGAAAGAGGATCCTTTATTAGGAGGGAAGTCCTCCTATTTATAGATGGAAGGGGGAAGGGGGGCTCTCTACCCTAACGGGCTGAGTGGGCCTAAACGGGCCTCTTGGGCCTAGGCGGGCCGAATGGGCAGAAATGGGCCCAAAGGCCGAAATAGGCCTGACAGGCTAAAATGGGTCTTACTGATTGGGCTCCGTAGTACGTAAAGTCTTGGGCCCCTGAACAGTAATAGGCCGGGATGATATATCCCAACACAAGTCCCCCAGTTTCTTGAGTAGTGAGTGTGCGAATCTGCTCGAGAAAATATACGCTTGTCTGTGCTCTTCCTCTGCCTTGCCGGAACTGTGTCTTCGAATAATCATAATATATGTGTGGGTGTGTGCCCCTCTGAATATACCCTGCCGGTAAGGCGCTCCCCTCCTGACGGGATCGTGCGAGGGATGTTCTTCCCCGGACACTCTCCCTCTAACTGTATCAGGTGGGGAGTAGAGGACTCTGACCTGAGCTTTCCCATGGAGATGCTTAGAGGTTCCTGCACAATATAAGCTGACGACAAGGGAGACTAGCTCGATGTAGAAGACCGGCAAGGAGACGAGCACTTAGAGGTCCTCTGGACTCTGACCCATATCTTCCAATGGAGAAGCTTAGAGGTTCCTGTCAGATCGGCCCCAGCTTACAGCTAACCTTCGAAGGAAGATACGACCCCTCAACACCACGCCGACATTATTCTGGCGCCACCGCCATCAACGACCGGTCCTCTTAGAACCGCCTCCCTCGCAAGCCGTTCCCTGTAAGTCCGCAGTCGTGGCC